AGGGAGGGAGGGAGAAACAACAGGAAGGAGGAAGGAGAAGTTATAAGGTCCCATAGCTCTCTCTGGATCTGCAGAGTATAATAATCCCTTAGGCCAAATGTGGGGATGCATGCCTTTAACCTCACCATTTGGGAGGTGGATCTCTGGGAGTTTGATTACAGCCTGGTCTACATAATGAGCCCCAGACTAGTTGGCACTGTATAGTAAGACATTGTCTCAAAACAAAACAAGCAAGCCAATAAGAGGTGAGTGGTCTGACCACTTTCTCAGGAAGGAACAGTGACTCAGTTTCTCTCTTGCTTGAGGTTTGGGGCTTAAACCAGTGTCCTAGTTTCATTTGTGATAATAAAAAAAAATGACAAAAGATACTTTAATAGAGAAAGGGTGTATTTTCCTGACAAAGGTCACAGTGCATCCCTGAAGGAAAGTCAAAGGAGGAACTTGAATCAGCTAGTCATAGCCTCAGTCAAGAATAGAGAGAAAACAATTCATGTGTACTTCTTAGGATCAATCCCCTCTCCACACTTTTACAGTCCAGGACCCCAACCAAGGGAATGACACTGCCCCCAGTGGACTGGGTCTTCCCACATTAATTACTTAATCGAGTTGATCTACATGCAAACCCACAGCCCAGCCTGGTCCAGACAGTCCCTCACTGATTCTCTTCCCATGTGATTCTAGATTGTGTCATCTAACAATTAAAACTAAGGGGTTGGAGAAATGGCTCAGTGGTTAAGACCATTGACTCTTCTTCCTGAGGTTCCGAATTCAATTCCCAGGAACGATATGGTAGCTCACAACCATCTATAACGGGATCCAATGCATTCTTCTGGTGTGTCTGAAGACAGCTACAGTGTACTCATATACATAAAATAAACAAAAAATCTTTTAAAAAAAAACCCTAAATATCACAGCTGAGCCTGGTAACTCACTCGGATGCAAAGATAGGCAAATCTTTGATTCAAGGCCATTCTGGTCTACATAGTGAGTTCCAGACCAGCCAGGGATACACAGTGAGACTGTCTCAAACAATCAAACATAAAAACAAAACACCCCTAAATACCATAATCAGCAAGGCTTCTTGGACTAAAATTCATCAGTTCAATTGGACTACCACCAGCTCCTCCCATTCCTCTACTGCATAGCTGGCTATGGTAGGTAGGAACATCCTTCTTTACAGTGGGAATTGTTTGGTTTTAATGAAAATGCAACAGGCACACACTGAATGGTGCCTATAGCTCCAGGTGGAAAAGCCAGTCCCAAGCAAGCTCCAATGTGTGGCTGAGCAGTGAGAGGTCTCCCTTAAAGTGGATGATGTGGGTTAACATTGTCTTGCTCTTGTTGGGGCTCAAGAAGCAGGGAGACTGTTCCCCAAACAGCTGGTACCTGTGATAGGCAATGGCTGTGTGGTTTTGAGGGCTGGTTTGATGCTTTCTGGTATACCTTTGGGATGCCCTAAAACAGCTCAACCCAGCTGGGGAGGGTAGGCCAAATAACTATCGAAGGTGGAGAAGTTACCAGTGGCCACAGAATGTTACCTTCTTGGCTTCAACCTCTAGGGAGAGCAGGCTTCATAGCAAACTCCAGGCAGAAGCTGCCAAGGGAGACCATGGGACTCAGAGTTCACCTGCTTCAGTGTCCTTCCCTCAGCTTTGGAGTGTTTTGATGACAAGCTGATGGCTCCCATTGGCTCTGAACTGCTCCCTCATAGAGCATCTGCACTTCCAGAACCCATGCCTGTTCTTCAGCTTCTCTCTGACTGCTTCTTCGGTGTGAGCAACAAGCTCAGTTTGTCTCAGCTTGGCTTGGTTCTGGGTTCCGGTCTTAGTCTTGGGAGGCAGGAGGGCTGTGTTCACTTGACAAGCTGTCTTTGCTCTTTCAGTTGACCTGACATCCTTTGTGACACACTTTGAGTGGGACATGGCCAAATATCCTGCCAAGCAGCCACTGGTGAGTGTGGTGGACACACTGGCCAAGGTGAGGAACATCTGCTTGCCATCAGAGATGGTGGGCATGAAGTTGGGGCTCTGGGATGTGGAGAGCAAAGGTTGGGATGGTAGTCCCCGGGTGACCTTGGGTAGGTCTTCTCTTACCATGCTCCGGGTGTATGGAGAACTCAGCAGAGACTTGTGTGTATTCTTCTGTCCCTGTCACCCAGAGAACTGGCGATAGTCTCACAGGGCAGTCCCCTGGATGGGCCTGAGGCTTTTAACTTTTGACCTCAGACCCAGACACCAGTTCAGTTAGCTCCCCTATTTCTTTTCAAACATGATGATGGGAAGGCTTAATCTTTCCTCCCTCACTCTGCACATGGGAACCCAGTGCCACTTGGATGATTGATTGATGGCTGATTGATTGATTTTGTGGTACTGGTTGTGGAACCCAAAATCTTTCACATACAAAGCATTATACCACAGCCCTCTTTTAATTTTGATTTTGAGAATGGGCCTCACTAACTTGACCAGGCTGGCCTTGAACCAGCTTTGTAACTCAAGCTGGACTTAAACTTGTGACCCTTCTGTCTCAGCCTCCTTAGTAGATGCAATTACAGGCATTGGGTACCAAGCCTGGCTCCCCCGGGAAGAAACCTCATCATTTTAGAAGACAGTTTGGCTGAGGACCCCCACCTCTTAGTCACACTATGCCAACTCATCCTCTAAGTGTCTTGTGATAACAAAGCAGCCCCATGACAGGGTGCCATCTGTGAAGCCATGGTCTCCAGCTTGCTCATACTGTGTATAAGCCCCAGTAGCAGAGGGTTCTACAGGTACATTGTGGGCATCCTATAACCAAGGTGGCTTCTATGTGCCTTCACCATGGGTTAAAGCTGACTGTCCAGCCCTGTTGCTGATGCATACAGAGCCCCATCTATGTCATGTCTCTGGCTGGCCCTATGGCCTGGGAGATCCCAGCTCTACTCTGAACAAAGCTCCCCTGTTCTCTAAGTGAGCTGAGCTTCCCTGAGGGCAGTAGGCAGGTCAGGGCAGGAAGGGTGGCTTTGAATCCTTTTCTTCTTCAGGTTCTTGGGAATCTGGGTGTGGCTCCTTGGGCTTACATCCCCTTCCAAGACAATTAGGCAGAGGTTCTCAAAGGTATTTCTACAGGGCAGCTGGGGCATTGTGCCAGGTATGGCTTTCAGGAGAGCCTCACACCTGTCCACTACCCAGAGAACACATTTTTATGAGGTTGGGAACACCAACTTGGGATTTTTCATCTCAGGGACACTAGACCTGGCTTGGGGGAGTCAGAGAGTAGTAGAATCACTGAGGAGGACTGGATCCCCTCTAGTCCAGGGGTCCCAGGGGCACAACTGTTGAAGCATCAGACTGGGAGGGGATTTGGGTAGGAAAGCAAATCCCACAAATCCCACAAGTCGTGCTATGTATGTGGCTCCACTCTGCACCACATGGAACCTGCAGGTCAGTGGGACAGAGGTTGTGGGAGACTGGGCCTTCAGCGCATGTTGCCACAAGAACATGTGTCTTAGCCCCAGCCTCATTTGGTTCTTCTGAGGTGGTAGTAAGGGTTGTTTACAGTTTGTATAGCATATTTTCCTGTAGTCACTTGGTGTGGCCACCCCTTGAGTGTGGCATGTGGTATGATCCGAATGTGTAGTGTAGCTGTGTAGCCTAGTGTGTAGGATGCCATCGGTGAAGAGAACCCCACAAGGTATATGAATCTCTGAAGCACTTTTGTAATGTCCTGGGAGTATATCATCACTATGGAGAAAAATGTTTTTAAAATGTAAGAAAAAGATAAATCTCATCCCCATAATCAAGCAAAGACAAGGACATTGAAAGTCTGCTACTGTTTCGGCTCCTGTTCCCTTTCCCTCTCAACAGTGACCAGTGCCTAAGGTTCAGAGAGGACCCCCTTTTTTGAATGTCTGTTCTGAGTATTTAAACTCAAAGCTCCCACAGTGCCGTGAGTTTCATCCCATGATCTCAGCATGTCTTCCATCAGCATCGTGCCCTGCCTGCCCTACAGCATAGACACACACTGCTGGGCCCAAGCACTCTCATCACAACCCACTGCCAAACAGTAGCAAAGGGGCGGCCAGATGGTTTGTGTGTAAAGGCTACAGCAGTGGCCCTCAACCTTCCTCATACTGAAGCCCTTTAGTACAGTTCCCCATGTCGTGGTGACCCCTCCCCCAACCATAAAGTTATCTTCACTGCTGCTTCATAACTGTAATTTTGCTACTGTTATGAATTGTAATGTAAATACCCAATATACAGGATATCTGATACGTGACCCCTGTGAAAAGGTCTTTCAACAACCAAAGGAGTCACAACCCACAGTTGAGAACCACTGGGCTACATACTCAGTTCCGAAGTACCCACCATTACCTGTCAGCTGACATGCATCCATGCGTTATCAAATACACACCCACCTGTTTGTAGCTGTGGCTACAGGCCATTGTTCACTGTCATGCTGGTCTCTGTGAGCCTTTGGGGGAGCAGAACTTTCTTTAAATTAGCACAGAGCTCAGCCTGTGGGAGGGGCTCACTGCGGCTTTGAGTCACTCATTGCTTTCTGGGCTCACTTAATTACCATAGCTTTCTTGAACTGCTCTTCACTTTGGCTAACTGTTCTTGGGGCTCTTCCTAAGGTGGCATTCCTCCTCTGGGTAGAGGCAGGGAACAGAGGTGCTCAGTTATTGTGCCCTTGCAGCTTGGGTGGAGGCTGCAGTCAAACCTGGAGAAGTAGACAACTGGGAGGCTGAACATGGAAGGTCACCATGGAAGACAGGACAGATCACTGGCTGCCCTCTAACAGGGCCAAGGAAGGTTGCCGTGGGGCTTCCCGGGTCTGGCATTGCTTGCTAGGAAGGACCCCAAGCTAGTGTTCACTGGGCAAGCTATGTGGCTGGTACCTCAGCACCTATAAATTGAGGTCTTGTCCCCTTCTGCTCTCCCATGTGGAAACTAAGAGGGCCAGATGCTTGGGGGTTGGAAGAGTAAGGAGGGACACAGATGGGACCACCCTGGTGAGCCAGCAGGTTGCTGGTTTTCTTTTCTTTTTTTGTTTTTCTTTTGTTTCTTTCTTTACCCTGAGACAGGGTTTCCTGTAGCCTAGGCCTCAAATTGGCTGTATAGCAGAGGAGGATCTTGAACTGATCTTCCTGTCTCTGCCTCCCAAGTGGTAGACTTACAGGAATGAGCACCCACCTGGCTTGGTCACCATTGTTAAGTGTCCATGGATGCTTGGTGAGATGTTTGAAGAGTTTCACTAACTCCTCAAGGTCACCAGGATCGTTTCTCCCCCCTCCCTCCCAGCAACTGGCACAAATCGAGACAGACCTGAAGTCCCGAACAGCTGCCTACAGCGTTCTGAAGGCCAACCTGGAGAACTTGGAGAAGAAATCCACGTGCGTACCGTGCCCACTGCATTCTCTGTGCGTGTATCTGGTGGGGTTGGTGTGGGGAAGATCCCCATGGCTGTGACTCTTAAGCCAGGTGGACAGATGGAGCCATACACTAGGAGCCTGGAGCAGATGAAGAGAGAACAGAGCCAGGTAGGGTGGCTACCCTGCCTGTGAACACAGAGAAACATGATGTTTCTCCTGCTCATTCCTTCTTTCCTTCCTTCCCGCTCCTCACTCAGTTTATGTGGCTCTGGAGAGCCTGCCTCCACTGCATCTCCTCTTCAAGGTGAGCAGGTAGGGTGGAATATTAGAGCCCAAACATCTTCACGGGGCAGATAGGATCAGCAGCCGCCTAGAGTGGACAGCTGCAGGGACTCAGTCATAAAACAGTCTGCTGGTCTTGTAAGGACGATGTATATTGTTCAGGCTCCTGACAGACCAGGCTCAAAGGCGGTGGAATCAGTAGAAAAGCAAGCTCAGGGCCATCATGGCAGGCCCTTGGGGATGGTAGTGAGCACCCTGGAAGACATAGTTACACAGGGCGAGCTCGAGCTCCGAGGGAAGGATGAATAGAGCCAATTAGCATGAGGTGGCTCCCAGCCGTTGCCTCTGGGTCCTAAATCTGAGGTCAGAAAAGCAGAGTAGCCCAGGAACTCAGAGCTAATTTCCCTCCTCCCCTTTGGTACCACCAGTTACGCTTCCCTCCTTAGAGTCCCTAGGCCAGATTTCCTAGTCACAAAAAAATAACAAAAGCTGAGACCATTCCTAATCTGAAAATTCAAAATGAAAAATGCTCCCAAAAAAGGAGGAAGTTTTAAGCGTCATGATGATTTTTTAAATGAAAAGTTCTGTACCTGACTTCATGGCTCTGTTCATGGCCACCACACAAAGACTAGAACTGCCTGCAGCATGCCTGCAGCTATTGTGTGAGTACTGTATGAAGCCAGTGGGTTTCTGCTTTAATCTACCTCCTACCTCCAAGAGAGCTCGTTATTCCAATAAAACATTCACATGTCCAGAAACCCCCAAGTTCAAACAGAAGGGTTACCGAAGCTGCTGTCCATCTGCAGTGAGAAAGTCAGTTTCAGTTGTCTGAGTCCGCCCAAGGGTAACTGGACATGAGCAAAGGTGGACACTAGCTAGTTGTAAGGTGGGCACAAGTTACCTTGAGCTCAGGATAGGTTGGTCCCTCCTGAGGCTGGAGTCCAGACCATGGTGGGCCACCCCCTCACCTCACTACCAAGTCATAGACAGCTTGGCAGCTGGCAAGATGGATCAGTGGATAAAGGAACCTGCCACCTGTATGACGATCTGAGTTCAGTCTCTGGGTCCCATCTGATAGAAGGAGAGAGCTGACTTCTGCAAGTTGTCTTATGACATCTACAGATGTTCTGTGGCACATGTGGAACACACACAAACACGCACACACACGCACATGCACACACACAGAGTAAATAAACACAAAGTGTAATTAGAAAAGCCTGGCAATAGTGGCAGTGGTGGTGATGGTGGTGGCGATGGTGGCACACACCTTTAGTCCCAGCACTCAGGCAGAGGCAGGCAGATTTCTTTGAATTTGAGGTCAGCCTGGTCTACAGAGTGAGGACAGCCAAGGCTACACAAAGAAACCCTGTCTCAGAAAACCAAATAGTTTTTTTTTTTAAGATAATTGGAATCTTAGCAGATGACTGGTTCATGTTCTCTTCTCCCAAACAGTCTCTGCTTCCTACTCCTTCACCAAACATGCCAAAACAGTTTCTACCCTTGAAAAGTCAGTTACTCATTCAACCTGTGAGGTTGTTACTTTGGGCTGGGTGCACTATAAACTAGAGACAAGTCTAGCAGACTAATGTGTGTGCTGTGGTGATACGGTGGCTGTGCCCAGGGTGCCTCTGAAGGGGATTCGCCGGCATCTGTCCATGATCACACAGCTGTGTGGTGGTGGTCCAGACAGGCGAGGAGAAGCCCTTGGGGGATGGGATTTTTCTCCTGCCTATGAGGCTTTGCTCTTGACTCTGCCCGAGAAGTGGGAAGCCATGGGCTAATGCTGCAGCCCCCATGTTCTCTAGGCTCTCTGGCTAGCACTCTTCAGTCTGGGTGTTCACCATGTCTTGATAGGCACATCTGTCTATGCCACAGCATGGTGATAATACCATGCTCTTCATTCTAGCCAGGGCTTGTGGCATAGACAAAGCTATTTCAGGTGAGTGTCCCCAGCTGCTGGACTAAACAGTGTAAATTGACACAGAGCTAGCTCTATCTAGGCCTATCTGTCCTCTGCAATTCGGAGACCTGGCTGCTGTCTTGATACCTGAATACCTTTAGCTGCCTGCCACCTGAGTTCCCCTCCCAGCACTTGGGTTGGCTTTTGGGGAGAGTGCATGTCGCTGAGGTGTTGAATTCAGCAGCCCCTTGAGTGACAGGTGATAGTTGCGGAGGCCTCGCCAGCCTCCCTGCCCCTGAAAGAAGAGGTACTGTCTCATTTATGAATTGGCTGTACCTGGCTCTGACAGACTGGGCTCAGAATCTCCTCTGAGCCTGCTCTATTTCCTGCTGTTTGTTTGGATGCTATAGGACATGTGGGGTCAGTGATCCTCTCTCTGATGGTCTTATCTGTTGTTCCACCTTCCAGGGGGAACCTCTTCACTCGGACACTGAGTGATATTGTCAGCAAGGAAGACTTCGTACTCGATTCTGAATATCTCATAACCCTGCTGGTCATCGTCCCCAAGTATGTGAATAGAAAGGCTGTGAGGTGCTTGGCTCTTGTACAGAGTGAGGTGGGCCCTATGTGCCCTGCTGCCTATAGGTCAGCAGACATTCCTGCAAATACCTAAGGAGGTCCAGTGTCTCCATAGAAGTAGGGAGATGGTAGCAATGGCAGAGCATTTATTGAGTACTTCTTGTGTTATGCCCATAAGAAAAACTTCGAACTCCTTTTGACATGAAGCTGGAAAGGCCATTTACCTGGGCTCAGGTGACCTGGCCCAGGATCAGAAAATTATTAGTGACTATAAAACATAGCAATACCTGGCTCTCCACATGGGAACCTTTTGGGAAGTCCTGGGGCCCTTGCACATAGATTGGGCTCAGCATGGCACCTGTCCACAGCAGAACCTTTGGGGATGTTGGGAACACTCCCTGGTTCTATCTCATGACTTTCAGTCTTCAGGAGAAGGTGCAGTTTCCTGAGATAGTAGAAGCCCTGTCTTCCCAAAGCATCCCACAGTTTGTGTCCTTACAGGTCAAGCTATGTACAGTGGCAGAAGACATATGAGTCCCTATCGGACATGGTGGTCCCTCGGTCAACCAAGTAAGTGAGACCTCAGCTTAGTCTGTGTCCCCAGAAAGGCATGTGTAGATGTTCATGGAGCACCAGATATGTACCAAGGGCAGGGCACCTCACAGCACCATACCCGTGCATTGAGTCCCCGTGGCCCAGAATTCCTTCTTGGCACCTTGGGGTGCTCCTATCTGCCATTGTCTTTTAAAGCTCCACTTCCCTGTCCCTCCTCTGGGAAGGCTGTTCTGGATGCACTCAGCAGAGCCTCTCCATGTGTTTTTTGCCTGTCTTCTCTGTATTCTCTTTATAACATCCATTCTGTTCTGCCTAAGCAGGTGGGTGCAGAGATTGTTCAGCAAATGCCTGGACAGAGCAGCAGCCCAGGGGCTGGCAACAGAGTCTGAGCAGGGAGGACAGTCTCAGTGTGTGGCCAGTTGGGGTCAGAACAGGAACATCAGGAGGGCACAGCAAAGGTGAAGGGTAGGACTGGGTTGAACCTGTGTAGGCTGTGGAAACCATGGAAACCAGCAACTCAGCTACACACATCAGAGCTCACTTTGAGAATGGGCAAAACGTTAGTTGTTGACAGGTGTCTCAGTCACTGTTTTACTGCTGTGAAGTGACACCATGGCCAGGGCAACTCTGAAGAGAAAGCATTTAACTGAGGGCTCACTTATGTTTTCAGAGGCTTAGTCCATTTCTTATCATAGCAGGGAGCATGGTGCTGAAGCAATAGCACAGAACTACATTCTGATCCATAGACAGAGAGGCAGGCAGACAGACAGACAGACAGGCAGGCAGACAGACAGAGAGGCAGACAGACAGAGAGACAGACAGACAGACAGACAGACAGACAGACAGAGAGGCAGACAGACAGGCAGACAGACAGACAGACAGACAGACACACACACACACACACACACACACACACACACACACACACACACAGAGGGGATGGGGAGAATATGAACACATGCATACTGGACCCGATACGGGTGTTTGAAACCTCAAAGCTCACCCCCAGTGTCACAATTCACCAGGTGACACACACCCCAACAAGACTGTGCCTCCTAATCCTTCTTGAATAGTGCCACTCTATGGTGACTAAGCATTCAAATAATAGGAGCCTGCCTCATTACCACAGCAGGGATATACAGAACCATGCCATTTATCTAGAATCAAAAAGCCTGTGACAAGAATGTCTCAGTGCCTGGACCAAAATACAGCAGAGTCATGGGGACTGTGGAGAGGAAAAACCACCCGCCGGGTCATGAGATAAGGAGTCTCCAGCCTAGTTAACTGGGCAGAGCCTAGGGGACTCTTAACTGTGTGGAACTTATTTGTGATCCCAAATCCTGCACCTTTACATATGCCATAAAGGAAAGTTTAGAATGAGCCATAAGTAACATGAGCTCAGTTATCTGCCCCACCACACTGTACCCAGAGCTGCCCACTTCACCCCATCCCATCTCATCCCACCCCCCCACCATCCCTCTACATCCTACGCATCCTACTACATCCCACCCCACCCTCATCCACCCCACCCTATCCCATAGCACCCGACTCTCCCATCCTGTCTTATTTAGTCCCCCGGCCCCATCCACCCTAGCCCCCTTCCTGTCTCAGCTCATTCATCCCTGAGATCTTGGCCTTGAGGAGCATACCACTCCCAAGACACAGCCACCAGGAGCTAAATGGATTGTGTGTTTACAAATAACAGGTTAGTCACAGCCTTAAGGTCTTGGGAGAGACAGAGCTCTAAGAAGAAGCACATCTTTTTGGGTCTGGTAGCACCAGACAGGAACTTCCTGGTAGGCAGAGATGTCTTCTGTTCTTGAGGCTTGCCTCTGGAGAAGGGTCAGCTTATGCTGGGCCACAGAGCAGAGACCTCAGGCCCTTCATGATTAAGAGAGTACTTAAGTCTGCACCAACCAATTCTGAAAAGGTCTGAAGCTTCAGGAAAGTTCCTATGGGTAAGGACTCCAAGACACAAGTGAGGGGATCTGCCAACCAGGCATACCTAGGCCCTCAAGACTTCTTACTTAGACCAGTGTCTCTGAGTTGCTGAGGACAGTGACTCATGCTGTCAATGACGTGTCCAGTTAGGGCTTTATATTGGAAGTGCAGTGGTCCTTGTGGAATGGCTTCTGCAATTTGCTTCACTGGAACCTGCATAGCAGCAACAGAGTCTGGAGCCCTGTGGGGAGCTGGATCAGTCAGCCATTTGAGGAGCACAAGACAAAACAAGTTGCTGCTCCCAACCAGAGTCTCTGCTGGAGCTTGCAGGCTGAACCTGGAGGAGTGGACAGTGGGAAGTTATCAGGGCACCCTTGGTTCCCAGGCCCTGGTCCCAGCAAAGGACAGAAGCATAGGCCACCAGGCCCAGGGAACCTGACTGCCAGTGGGGATGGCCTCCTGAGGTTGACGAGGAGCTCCTCTGAGCCCAGCTTCAGCTCAGAGCCTGGGGGAGTGATCTTCCGTCATCTGGCTAACTAATGCTTCTCCCCACTAGATTGATCGCGGAGGACAATGAAGGTGGCCTCTTCACAGTGACTCTTTTCCGAAAAGTGATTGAAGATTTCAAAGTCAAAGCCAAAGAAAACAAGTAAGGGTATGGGCCATGGGTTCCAGCAGGTTTGATCTGAATCCCTGAGTAGTACCTGCCTTGTCCAGATGCTGGCTGCCCTGTTACAGCTCTAGTTGCTTTTTTAAAGGTTCATTGTCCGGGAATTTTACTATGATGAAAAAGAAATTAAAAGAGAAAGGGAGGAGATGACCAGGTTGCTGTCTGATAAGAAACAACAGTATGTGAGTACTGGGGTGTGGGGGGCTCTTTAGACTGCTGAGATTTACTCCCTAATGTTCTACAGGTTAGAGTCCATTCCTCAGTCTCCCTGTTCCCATCTCCTGAGTTCATGCTGGGTACATGTGAGTTCAGATGGTATATGTACTGATCTCCACTCCCTGATGCAGCTCACACCTGGATCACTGTCCTGGAAGAGCTTGTCTGCTCCACAGTAGCTGAGATGCTGAAGTGTACCCTGGCCAGGGGATCGCTCGCCCTGGACTTGCCACAGATCAGCCAGAGCAGGGGGCACCAGGATGAAGCATTTGTGCCTAGAGTGGCTAGTGCCACTGTCTCAGAGATTACACAGCCATCAGTTTTCTTATCCTGACTGTAGATTTCAGGCTGCCCCTGGCACCTGTGCTTACCACCCCAGTGTTCTTAGGAGCCTGGGTGCTTATCAGAGACACTGTGGCCACAGGCACTTCGTGGAAAGGTCAGCCTCTGTCACTGGGGCAAAACTGAGAGCGTAGTGTTAAACTGGGAACCTGTAGCCCCACGGTCATCAGTCCAGAGCTATGCAAAAGTGTGTTCCAGTCTCTGGTATCCTGTGATGGCAGCATGGGGCTCAGTTCCACATGCTCAAGGCACTTGTCTAAGTGGACGTTTTCTGGTTCCTTCTTCCCAGCCTCAGCAGAGGGAGGCTTCCTCAGCGTACACTCTAGTAGCATTCAGCGATAGGTGGGAGGGGTAAGGAGAGTCCTTGAGGAAAGCCTGTGTGTGCCCACAGCTGAGTATCCACCTGGGCAGAGGCAGAGCTGCTGTGCTGGTACAGTGCTTCACACGTGGCTCGGTGTTTGCCCCAGACCTCCTCACATATTGAGCAGATAGCTTGAGCATATCCAGGCTAACCTTGCTGAATGAGAGGCTTTTCTGAGTCCCCCCAAAATAGTTCTTGGAGCCCGGCCTGCCTGCTGTTTCCTTCTCTAAGCCCCAAGATTGCCAGTTGGTGGTGTCTTTACCCATAGACTTCTGTGGCCCCAACTGCCCCAGAGAACCTTCTAGAGTTTCCAAGTGTATGAGAAACAGAACTCCTGGGAGACACTCAGAAACTGTGCTGGTGAATGGAGCTTCAGGGAGGGTCAATGAGAACCCTCACCCCACCCCAGCACTCTCTCCCATTTGGTCTGGTTGGGAATGGATGCAGCCAAGCATCCCGTATCCTTTAGTTACGGGCCCACTGGAGACCAGGGGCTGGCTTGCTCTGGGAATACAGGGTTGAGTTGCCCTATGTTTTCTATTCTTTTGCAGACAGGTGATATAGGGTGACATGGCCTGGCTGTGTGCCTTTCTAGTGTCTTGTATGTGATATGCCAAAGCATTCCATGAACGTCGAGGAGGAGGAAGCTGTTCCTGAGTATTAGGGGCTGGATAAATGAGCTCCGTAGGTCAGCATAGTTCAATAATACATCCGGGAGCTGTCTTTGTCTGCTGTTGCTGGGGTCCTGACCCAAGCAGGCACATAGGCTAGTATCTGAAGCCATAGACCTTGGACCCCTGCCACACACTTCTGTGAGCAGGGATTCTGGAGTTTGCTTGCATATTGTTCTCCAGGCCATGAGAATTATTTGTGTTCATGATACATACTTGCTGAAAGATTAATAAATCATTTCTGTACCTTTAGCAAACTTCCTGTGTTGCTCTTAAAAAGGGATCAGCCACCTACCGTGACCACAAGGTTAAGGTAACCCCGCTAGGTAACCCTGCTAGGCCTACTGCGGGGCAGATCGACAGAGACAGAGAGAGTGAGGGCGAGGGTGAGGTAAGCACCCCTGGGAACCCTGGGGGTTCCTGGCTCAATTCTCTCCCCAGCTGAGGCTCTTCTAAGGATCAAATCTATGCATTTGGTGTTGTTTCCTCCTGCTTGTGAGGGCTGAAACTGGAGCCTAGAATCCTGCTGTCCTAACCTTCATGGACTTTCTGGAGCTGACTCTCTAGGCAGGGAATGGGGCTTGTCGTCTGGAAGGAATGCCTATGCCCTGGCTGAAGGTGGCTGGAGCTGGTGACTGGTGATGGGCAGGGCTCTGGCTGGAGGGTGGGTGGTTCGGTCGCTCTGCATTCCTCCCTGACTGTCCCGGCTTGGGTATCTCTGGCCTTGCCCAGCAATTAGAAATGTCAGGTGGGGGCTGCCCCTAAGGAAAAACCACAGCAGGCTCAGCAGCAGCAGGAGCAGCAGCAGCAGCTGCTATGGCCTAGATGGGGCTTTAAGAACCCTGTCAGGTACAGCTCATGGATGGTTGGGCAGGACTCTGAGGGTAGTACCTTCCGATGAGGTGGGCTTCTTGATGGTTCAGTGTCAGATGAGAGCCTTCAGAGGCCAATGACAGACTTGAGGTCAAGAGCTGCCTAGCTTCCCACTGCTGGTCTGAGGTAGCCTCGCGCATGTGCCGGTGGCTGCCCCGAGAGCTTTCCCCAGTGTCAGGCGCCTGCATGCAGTGGTCCTGAGCTTCCCTAGGTTCTTCCAATCATCTCTGCTTCTGCTGGCTCCTGGGCCCTTCTTCTGGTCTCAGGGCTTGCTCTGTATACAGCGAGCCCTTTCTTGGCGTTTATCAGTCGAGTGTCCAGAGGTTCATGTACTTTTCCTGTCTATGCAGGGACCTCTGCTGCGCTGGCTCAAGGTGAACTTCAGCGAGGCCTTTATTGCCTGGATCCACATAAAGGCCCTGAGAGTGTTTGTGGAGTCTGTGCTCAGGTGTGTGGCAGAGATGCTGGTCTGGGCAGTACTGAGTGGCTGGGCCTGGAGGAGAAGCTTGGATGCTCTGCTCCCACCTCTCCCCCCACCCCCTTGCTCTTTGCTTTCCGTGGCTGCATCTTAGCAATGTTCTCCATTCCGTCAAAGGAATCCCAGTTGGCCACGTGTGTTCTGCTCGTCAGGACTCACTCTTTCCTACCAGACTCATTCGTGTGCTCTGCCTGCCTCACTCACCTGTGTACCTCACAGACCCTCTGTGCTATTGCAGGGCCCCAGTGGTTCCTAGAAGACATTCCCAGGCTGTCTTATTTCTCCACTCTCCAAGGGTAGTCTTCAAGGTAGCTCCCCACTAAAACAGGAAAGCTACACCTGAAAAAATGATTTTATCTTAATTTCTATCATTTTAAAATACAAGGAAGACAGAGTCACTGTTGAAAATGTACAAACCATAGGTTAGCACAGGTGTGAATTCAAACTACCTGTCAGGGATAAAGTGTAGCTCAGTGATTGACAGAGTATCAGCCTGGCATGCATGAAGCCCAGAATTCAGTCACCAGTGGCACAGAGCAAACCAGGCATATGTTGTTTTAAGAGCAAACACACCTTGGTATGTGCTTTTTTGTTTGTTTGTTTTGTTTTTTTATGGTTCTGGTTCCCCCAGCCCAAGTATTTAATGTTCAGATATGTATCATTCTCAATGTTTTCATGGAAAGGGAATCAAACAGCAAGTCCTTTTCAAAGGACCACAGTGGTTGAAGAATGAATGACACAGGACACTGGGTGTGCAGACTTGTCTCTCAAGGGACAGTGAGCCATCATGTTTATGTTAAATCACAATGGGATGAGGCAGTATTGGGGGAGTCTGCACCCACAAGCAGCAAGACTTATGGCTGACCTCACCAGAGAGGAGGCAGCTTCTCTACTGAGAAGTCTAAGGGAGTATCCTGGGCTATGGCCTTGAGGACAGGCAGTGAGAGAACTTGCCAGCCCTGCTGAAATCATGTCCTGGTGGGATGATGTTCATGTGAATTGCCATAGGAAGGTTAGCAGGTTGGATGTCACTGACAGAGAAGCCAGGACATCTGTAGGATCACTTGCTTTGTTTCTGGTCAACAGTCAACTGGGTGCTCAACACGCCTGGGATTTGCCTACGTGTTATAATCACCTGGTTGGCCAGTATGGTTCTTGCCTTGTGGAAGGGCAGTCAGTACAAGGGGGCCTCTCTGGCCAGCAGAAAGCAGAGTTGTCACCAGTGGCACCTGCAGACATAGTGGGAAAGGCAGGGCCATATTCTGGGAATATTTTGCCCACAATGAAGACTGAGGTTTAGGAGGCAGGGAGGAATTCATGGACATGCTGCTGGTATCCACAGATTCCCCCGACTCATTTCCACAGCACACTCTAGTTAGGAAATTCTGTGCTAGGTAAGAGCAGGGCACTGAGGACACTCATGTGGGTCACACACATAGTACAGCCACTGGCCAGCCATGGAAGTGGAACCTTGGCTCACTGATGCATTTGAATGCTATTCTGGGAATAATGGACACGCCAGGCACAGTGATTCTCAAGGAAGTGATTGATCAGATTTAAGCTCTTTGCTATGCACCCAAAAACTGAGCAAGAAGAATATACCCTGAAGAACTTCTGCTGTTCTCCTTTAGTGGGCACAAGTGACAGCTGTAAAGTTCTGATCTGGTGCTTGTACAACTCAAGTACAGGTGCCTGGGGCCGTGAGCTCTTGGTTCTTGTCATAGTGGTGACTTTCAGAAATGGTTAGTACAGACCAGAGACAGTATCATTTTTAGCCTTTGGATACCTGTCCCTGTTATCTTTTTTTTATAGTTTCACTTTTTTAAGGTGTGTCAGTTATAGCCATTCATTCATATTTTAGGGTTTATTTTTATGCATGTGTGCATGAGTGTTTTGATACATACACAGGTGCCCAAAGAGGCCAGAGGCTGTAGGATTCCCTGGAGCTGGAGTTATAGGCAGTTGTGAGCCACCTGTCATGGGTACTGGGAACTGAGTTAAAGCCCTGTAGAACAAGCGCTCTTAACCACGGAGCCATCTCTCCAGCCAAAGTCACTTTAGTTGCTCCTCTACTTTGGCCAGACCCTCTTGGCTGGTATTTAAACACCCGACTGGCCTGTCTTGTCTGAGCAGGTATGGACTTCCAGTGAACTTCCAGGCTGTGCTCCTGCAGCCCCATAAAAAGTCAGCCACCAAACGCCTGCGAGAGGTGCTCAATTCTGTCTTCCGGCACCTGGATGAAGTTGCTGCAGCAAGCATACTGGACGTAGGTATCATGGAGACTCAGATGCACTACCACCACAGGATGCATGGTGTCACTTTTAAGCATGGGGATGTGTGTGGTGGCAGGGCAACTGCACAGGACAGAATGTGTGCCCAGAACCCAAGAGAGTTCCCTTAAAACAAGAACCGTCTTTGCCATTGCTCTGCAGGCATCCGTGGAGATTCCTGGACTGCAGCTCAGCAACCAGGACTATTTCCCCTACGTGTACTTCCATATCGACCTCAGCCTCCTTGACTAGGGGGCCAGCCTGTTTCACTGCAGCCTCAGACCTTGCCAGACACCCGAATCCTGCAGGATTCTGACTCAGAAGATACTCACAGACATTAGTTAGAGTGTATTTATTTTTTTAAGTTACAATAAAGTGCTCAGTCCTGAGTCTTTTGTGTTCTACTGTTAACTCCAAACTTTCTCTCAAGTGTTTTACATGAAGTTACAGGGTTGCCTGTAACTTGGCAACCCACTAGGGTTTTTAATGGGAGATTAATGAGAACACACTGAAAACCTGAGCCTAATAGTGAAACTGAAGACAGACTTCAGGGCATAAAATGCTGTTCTCACTTGGTACCAAGTTTTCTTACAAAGAACCTTGCCCAAAGGTCTGGTTTTCCACTTACAGCCATTTCTACAGGGAGGTGGAGATGTGAGCCATCAGGTCACAGTGCTAGTAGTTTCCAGGCTAAACCTCAGACTCTGGTTTTATGATGTGCTACTAATTTCATACATTTATCAGCATTGTCCAAAATATCATTTTATTCTTTAATGGAAAAAGCCATTAATATTCAAACAAAGGAATCACATTTTAAAAACCCTATACATAAGAAACAGCCTCCAAGAACATTCAAGCAGCAGTCAGGAGGGAAAAATGTTTCAATAGCCCAGTTTTCTTCAAAAGATGGCAGAGTATACAATCCAATTCACTGCTACAATTCATAGAATTCTTCAGTGTTTTCTTGAGACGCTGAGGTTCACTGTTGGCAGTTCCCAGTGGCCAGCAAGTACTGCTCGGAAAGGCCAGCAGCAGACAGCTGACCGGAAGGACTTTCACTGCTGGAAAACTGCTTGCTCCCAAGGAAAGGTATTTGAAGGCTGGGCTGTGGCCCTCACAACTCATCCTTCTCCAGGTCATCAAGCTCCACATCACTGAGGTCAATGTCATCCTCCACAGGAAGCTAGGACATAGAGTGACTGTTAAAGCCTCAGACAACTAAAGGTTTCAATAGAAATGCAAATTCCAGAGGGATTCCACATTCTAGCCTGGCTCTTGCACCAATTATAACTCCACGGAAATCCAGAGATCCAACCACCTGACTCCCACAGCTGGCTGTACCACACCTAGGCTTTCTGTTTAAAACAGGGCTTCATTCTTTAGCTCAGTCTAGTCTGGTCTCAAACTCATGGCAATCCTCCTGCCTCAGCCTTTTGAGTGGCATATGTACAATTATAGAAATGAAACCAAGCTCACTTAGCCTTTAAACTTGATTTCTTACAAAATTTATGAGTATGAGTGTTTTGCCTGCATGTATGTCTGTGCGCCATGTATGTTCGATACCCCAGAAGGCTAGAAGAGGATACTGGGCCCCACCAGGTCTTAAATTACACATACTTTTAAGCCATTATGTGGGTGCTGGGAATTGAACTCTGGTCCTATTGAAACAGTAGCAAGGGTTTTTAACTGCTGAGCCACCTCTCCAGTTCTAAATTGTGATTTTAGTAGAACATTCTTTCTCTAAAGTGAAAGGCAAGGAGCATGCTGGTAATGCCTGGTCCTTGGTCTGATGGGGACTTGGTTTCCAGAGATGCACAAACTAGGGAGAAAGCTCCTCGATGCCACTCACCTCACCATCCTTGCCATCCCAGGGCTCCCTGGTAGTGATGGTAGGGAAGGAACCACCCCCTACGGGTGCTGTGGAGCCACGCCCGAAAGACAGTTCCCTTGGGAAGAAATACGAACACATATTTAGAGGTGAATGGTTTCAACTAACCCAGCCTGGGGCTAGGAGAATGTTGGTGTACAAAGCAGCTCAGCAGTGAGACTCAAACGTCTATCCATAAAACAGACTTATCATCTGGTTACTAGAAAACCAAACATACCATCAGTAAGAATACAGTCTGTCTAACCCACAAACAATACAAGTGACAGCAAGAGAGGAAGCCATGAACTGAGTGGCATCAACTGTCCGGGACAAAACCAAAACAGCGAAATGATTCTGTATGCAGAAACTCCTGATCATCAGGTCCTCAAGTACAACGCATTGACTTCATTACCACTGACAAGCATGACTGGGGAAGGAGGAAGGCATTTTGTCTTCTAATGGTGTGTGACTGAAGGTAGGCAGTTGTTTTTGTTTGTTTTCTTATAGAGTCTTACATAGCTCAGGCTGGTCCTGAACTCCTGATCCTCTGACCTCTACCAACTGCTAGATTACAGGCACCACCATTTCCAACTCTAATGTATTTCTGAATGCTTGCTCATTTGTGGAATATTTTGTTGTTGGTGGTATTTTGAGAGCATGCTGTAGTCCAGGCTGATCCTATTGCCCTTACCTCCTGAGTATCCAGACAATAGGCTAAAAGCTGTCTTTTACAATGGGTTCTCTAGTTTCATACTTTTTTTTTTTTGGTAGAATAATTTTAAAAAGAAAACCAATAAAAAAAAAATTGCAGGATGATGGTACATGCCTTTGATACCAGCACTCTGGAGGCAGAGGCAAGCAGATCTGAGTTGGAGGCCAGCCTGGTCTACAGAGTGAGTTCCAGGACAGCCAGGGCTACACAGAAAACTCCTGTCTCCAAACAAAACAAAACAACCAAGCAAAGCAAACAAGCAAAAAACAAAACTAAGGGCAGGAGAGATGGCTCAGTGATCAAGAGCACTGACTGCTCTTCAAGAGAGCTGGAGTTCCAATTCCCAGCAACCACATGGTGGCTCACAACCATCTGCAATGAGATCCAATGGCCTCTTCTGGTGTGTCTGAAGACAGCTATAGTGCACTGAAAAACAAACAAACAAACAAACAAACACCCCCCCCCAAAAAAAACAACCCTAAGACCCTAAAACATTACTTTGGGTCCCATTTATTACCATGCTTGAGGAAAATGTACACTCTCATTTCATGTTTTGCTGATGTTAGAGGACTTATAGGAAAGTCCTTAATGCAACATCTCTCAGTGTTGGTAATGATAGCGCAACGTGACTTATAGTCTACTTGGTCTTAAAAACAACAGCCTCAGTGTAGCCCCTGGGTCAAGCACACTTATAGAGCAGTGAGTGTGTTTATGCACAGAGGCAGCCCTAAACTTTTGTATCAAATAGGAAGTTCAGAACTCTCAAGTATCCTTTGTGCCAGGTATCCTTCCCATGGCTGCTAAGAAATTAACAAGGAAGAAAGCAGGGATAGGGAAACTCAATCTCTTAGGTCAATGCCTTCCTTATATTTGCCCAAGAACTGATGGAGTGACTTTGAGGAAGAGGTGAGCAGAGGGCAGGCTGGAGAGCTAGCTCTGCAAACTGGCTTTTGAATTAAGAACCCATCATGTTAGCCCACAGCAGGAGGATCACATACAAATATCAAGTACATGATAAGGGTAGGAATGGGTGAGACACGTGCCCTGAGCACGTCTAAGACTTTGTGAGTGTTACAATGAGACTGGGGTAATGTGCAGTATGACAAACAGCCTCACCACGCACATGGACAGTTACTGCCACAGGAAAGAGTAATAATGTAAAAGCTCAATTTTATAAACATCTTTCCTGGCTTACATATAACAATGAAAACCAACAAAGCCCAATAGATAAAACAATAAACAACTAAGAAAAAATTACCTGAGAAACTCATTGATGCCTTGTTCACTGAAAGACCCTTTGAGAAGAGCAAACTTCATCTTGCGAGCATTGATGGCTGCCATGGCAGGGTACCCGAACCCTCCGATCCCTAATGCATTCTCCAGTTCATACTGGGCTCCAGCCTCTGTCCACAGCCACCTGGGAAAGCAGACAGGTTTTAGGGAAGGAGTTTTTTTTTTTTAAAATAATTTATTTTTTCTCAAATCATAATTCATTCACACAGGGGTTATAAACACAGAAAGGCAGGACATGGGGAAGGGGATGACACTGGAGTGTGGGTGTTCAGGGGGAATACAGATCGGCTGGGTGAAGGTTCAGGGGACAAGTCACTATGACTCTGCCTATGACTCGCTTATCCTTATCTGAGTTGGCATTGTCTGCCAAGGCTACCTATTTACATGGTCTATGACTACTCAGGCTGGTAAATTTCCACAAAAGCTGCCTGTTTACATTAGCTTATAGCCATCTGTTTCAATGTTTTTCCACTGAGACCCAAGACTTGGTGTTAGTATACACGTACGACAGGCCTATTGCTGATTTTAGGCCTATGGCTGATTTTAGACGGAAGGATGCTTTTTTACTAGACTAAAATTACATTTTAACCTTCAGAAAGGAGTGTTGCATGAGGTGTGCTCAAGTGTCCACTTGCATTTTCCTTCCCGTGTCACTTAAACCTAGGTTACTGTGCACACCCCAAGTCTCAGGGCTGGTAAGCAACAAGCAGATAAACACAGGCACAGGCTACAGACAGCACTTGCTGCAGTCATGAGGCCTGCCCCGTACTCAGAGGTGAGCTGGGCTTTGGAACTCACCCCCACATTTTCTTCTTGTACTTATCAGCCAGTTTCAGAAGAACTTCCAAGTAAGAGTTTCTGCCTGCAGCACCTGAGTTACAATAAAACATTTTGAAAGTGAAATAACATGAGTTCGCTTAGGAAGTGCTTGAAGCAGCCGGCAGTGACAGCAATGGGAACAGCCTGTGCTTACCGGTGTCCAGGATGTGAGGCAGTACGGCCACCACGCAGAGCTGGTGTTCCTCGCATGTCTTCTTGGCTATGTCTTCGTTGATTATCTGCACAGAAGACAAGGGCAGTTGGAGAACTGTGCAACCTAACACTCAGAGACTCCTTCCACACGATGCTGCCTAGTGCAGACACCTAAGCTAGAACTGGCTAGAACAAGGTGCCACTGTTCATTCCCAAGCCATCTAGTAGCCTCTTTAATTACAATGCCCTGACCCAGCCTGGCTTGCCACAGCTGAACACACGGGCCACACATCTGTGCATGGCTATTTACACAGTGTGAGGCTCTTGGCTGTCTGCTTCCCCAAAAGCCTACAAAGGCGAGAATGATTTTTCCCTTTGGTGCTGCTGTAAGAACTGAAAACATCTATATAAACACCAGGGCAGAGCCGCGGCCATGCCAGGAGGTGCCAACAGCCCAAGTATGACCGAGTCCACTCTTACTTTTAAGCAGCTTAGGTGTGCTTTAGCTCACAGTATAAGTATTTTAATGCCAGGAAGTTACGAAA